TTTTTGGCCGCTCGTCAAAAGTTGCTAAAGCTTGGGTGGGATATCTCACCACACCCCCCATATAGTCCAGACATAGCACCATCAGAATACCACTTGTTTGGGTTTCTGCAAAATTCTTTGAATGGAAAATCGTTCAATTCGCTGGAGGACTGCAAAAAGCACCCGAAGGGTTTTTCGATATTATTTCTAGAACCTTCTATGGAAGAGGGAAACTGGAACCTACAGGAAGATGGCGAATCCTTACTGAACAGAATGGAGGATATATTGTTCAATCCATGGATTTCTTCTTCTAGGAATTTTCATTCAAAGATGAATCGAAAATCGGCGGGAACTTTTCGGACAACCCAATACATAGCTATGGTGTATTGAGCACCTTCCCAATCAAACACTTCATTTTGTGGTATTCCATGTATAATACATTCGCACCGACTGGAGCTGCCGAAAGGGGGCGCGATTATTATTACTGGAACATTACTGTTGGGTGTAGTCAAACTATTTTGAGCATTCACGATGAAGAGAACGTTCCCATGTGCTAGGTTCCTTCCTTTAGACTAAAGTCCTCTTAATTGCGACTAAACGAGCTTATTTTTAGATACGCGTGTGAATTGCCCTCATAGACCGTGAGTAACCTCAAAGTAGCCTGTGACATTCAAAAAGTAAAGTGGACATACTTGACTGGAGTGCAAGAGAGGAAAAATTCTGCAAGATTACGAAATAGGGCAGTTCTTCGATATCGAGTTTGGGAGAGGGAGAGACTGGAGCATCTTACAGAAATTTGACGAGTTTGTGGTGCAGAGATGCCACTTCCTTTAACGTTGCTGTTTTTACTTCAAATACAACGATTACCGAGCCTCTTGGATTATCGAGTTTGGTGATCGCAAGCTTTATCTATCTCAGAGTGGCTAATAGACACAGCACTTTTTTATATCCATTCGGTGAAAGGTGGCTGCACTTTGTAACCCCGTCTCTTTCGAATTTCTTTCGACACTGAAGAATCGACTAACATTCGAAGCAGTTCTTACTTTCTTCCGACTTTGAAGAATCGAAACACCATCCCAAGCAGTTCTTACCTGTATTTCTACTTGTAAGCATGGCTTGCAAACGTTATTTTTCAAGGTCTTTTTTTGTTTTGTCGAGCCTATTCCAACACGGAAAAATGAAAAATGTTGTAGAGCAAGTCACAAATATATTACCTTCACATTTCGCTGTTGCGAGTGTTTGAAGAGAGCAGCAGCATTGAGTGAGAAGCAGGATATACAAAACGAGCTGTAGATAGCACTTGAGATGTAGGAGTTGAGCTGGAAGACAATCAGTTAGAAGTTTTAAGAGCAGACAGATGTGACTTTTGAAACCAACAGAACTCAATCTAACTTATCAGGCGCATGCAATGACTTGCGCAGGCCAGCCGACGCTTTTACCTTCTCGAATGTGACTGACACTGATGAACAACAACTCTATCCCACTTATGAACTCAGGAAGAAAACTTGATTGCTTCGAGTGAATGTTGGGACGAGATTTCACCATCGGATCATGTAATGGTAGCAGCGCCATCTCACAAGAGCATACTTTGGCCCAAGGCTGATCATTACCGTACTTTGAGTGATGAGTGCAAGTCAATTCCGCCGCATGAGCAACCACGAAAATTCCTATATTTCTCTTCTGATTCCTAAAATATTGGGGTGTCCGCCCACAAATAACTGGGCCTCTCAACTGTGAAAGCACGGTACTCCTTGAGGCACTGACGCTACACTAGGGAAAGGATAGCAGGGGAAGGACATTCTTGGTAGATTAATACTTCTAAGCTGATTGGTATTTGATATCGTCATTGGAAGTAAGTAATCATCAACCGAACTATGTGCGCTTGACAAGGCTGCCGGCGTCTTCTGCTTCATCACTTTGAATAGATTGTTTCCTCACTCTGGCTTGGAATGAGTTATGGTGACCGATGGGCAGCAGTGCATAATCTCTTGTCATATAAAAAATTCAATAATTGACGAGAAATCAAGTAGAAGAATGGATTGCATTACGCCCCTCTTCTATCTGAGTAATGGCATCAATGCTCTGCCCGGTCGATGGAGAGGAATAGTGACTAAGATGGGTCTGTCTTGATTTCTGCTGCATTGTTTGGGTTGAAAAAACCAACTGAAATTTCACAAAACCTTCCAGAGATCCTAATATTTTTGTGTAAATTGAAGGCACAGTCCACGATAATCTTGGGGTACCCCTCTTGGGTCTTGGGATTCAAAAACCGAGAGTACAGGTTGGGATTAGTTCATCGGCAGTGAAAAAAGCACGAAAATTCGTCGAGATTGAGAGAAATAAGGCTCCTCAAAAGTAGGAAAAATAAAGGCTGGACGAGATGACCATGACGGAAATAACATGGAAAGGGTATTCGGACGAGATTCCAGTTGTTGCATTTGCGCACGGAGCAGACCACATCAAGCAAGAACTGTACAGAACTGCCTTCCACTGATGCTATAGGTCATGACAAGTTGCATGAGCCTCATACATGGGTTCCCTTGTGAATGGTACAGCCTCTACAGTGCTGGTGTAACTCGTCCGAGGACACGCACGATACAATCTTGGACCTTCATAACTCCCTAACTAGGCCGTTTTTCGACCAAAGGTATACAAGGGGGCTTAGAACTGATCCTATGGGGAAATCTCAGAAACCGTTTTTATCGTGAACTGTGCCTTTAAGTTTCTGGATGAAAGCAGGCGAATGCGCCATAGTTGATAAGTTTTTTGAGGAGGTTAGCGATTACATACCGAAAGGTACTTCCTAAAAATTACATATTGTGTAAGGTAGCGCATCAGTGCCCTGCCCGGTTGGCAAAGGTATGCCAATGACCGAGGTCAAACCGAAGCTTTGAAAATCATAAAATCAAAAATTGTGAGTTCACATTTTTTGATGCTCTAAGTGTACTGTCTCAATTGTCCACCATAAAACATGACCTGTGATTAATGAGCTAATCTTGGCGGCGAAATGTATGGTTGTTAGAGAGTCACAAAAGAATCCATCCACTTGGTGATAATTATTGTTACTGGATAATCGTGCCTTTGTATAAAAATCGGGTAATTAATAGATAAGGTTTGGAATTTCAGCCGTAACTACCTCTTAACCAGTCCCTGAGGAGAATTACTATCATTAGGGAATTAAGCTGGCATTTTTCTCTGACCAGAGATTCTTCACCCTCTTCTGTGTACTTTCAAAAGTTACCTGCTGATAATTCTCGTTGATAAGATAAGGGACTATTTTCCCGTCAACAGCAACGTAGCCAGCTTCTTGAAATATCCGAATGATCGGTGTGATCATCGACATCGTGGCACCACAAGCAAAGAGACGGATTGTTCTTTTGAGGGTCCACCACTGAAAACTCCATCGTTAAGACTTTTTCCAATAAGTACTTCTGCGGACCCAGGGCCCCCAGTCAAGGTTGCTCCTAATGTCTGCCAGCCTCTCCGAAGACAATACAGGCCGTCCAAACCAGTCTAGGTAGTTTCAAGCCCAGTTGACGGCTTTAAACTGCCTATATTTTGGTCGGCTACAGTAACGGTTACGGTACGATTACGGTATTAGGTCTGATAGGAAAACCGATGACTGGCCCAACTCACCCGACTGTGTTTCATTGGATAACAGATAGCAGTTAATCGATTGATCGATAGCATCAATTGAGTGAATAGCTCGATATTGCAAGCAAAATTGGTAAGTGCGAAGCCAATCTGAAATGTCCTTTCATTTTATGGTTTTCCTATAATCCAGTGCCCAGTAATTATTTATTACGTTATTGTTATTTATTTATCTATTTATTATTTATCCAGTAATTCATTTATCGATTTCCTAACTAACTCTGCAGTGTACCATTCAACGCAAAAGGTAGTGCCGTTGTGAAAATTGGAATCAAGTAGAGTCACCTTGGCGATTAGACAAGGAAACATAATCAGTTATCTGCTATCCAGCTGGAAGACCAACCTTAGCTACGTACGGCTTATCGAGTACGGCTGTCCATCCAGCTACCGGATATCGGAATGTGATCAGACTGGTAGTAACTTGGATCATATCTGCTGGAGCTGAAAAATCAGAGTTGGAGCTCGTTCACGTGAAATCAAACGGTAGAGTCCAGCTTGTCTAATCGTTCAGCCCCTTAGCTCACTGAGCTTACCATGGATGGATTGCATTTAAAGAAAAACCCCCGTAAAAATTTCGCCTGAAATTTTGCCTCAGTTAATAGGTCAGTTTAGCAACTCTGTCTGTGAGCATGAATAATTGGGAATGTTACCCCAATATTGCCTCGGTTTCTCAAGAAGTAGAGCATCAAGATCCAGGAAGTCAAGGAGGGGCCATGGTTTGCTAACACCAGCTATTAAAAGCCCACTACCCCGTAAATACAAGCGATCTCTAGATTGCCTTCAAGTGCAAATGCAACAGAACCAATCTCGAATTCTTTTTGAATGGCTTCCAAAAATTGCACCACAGCCGCTCGTCCTCAAAAAGAGCATTGATTAGGCTTCTCCATTTCCAAGCTACTTAATTGGAAATGGCCGTTTTCTTGGCAGGAAAGAGGTGACCTGATCTCATCGGCAGCTGTCATGAGAACACACTTCAGTACTCACCTCGTATCAAGAATATATAGTAGAAAGCGGAAGAAAATTCATCATCTCGAGAACAGATAATGTAGCAGAACTCGGCCAAATACAGTAGGATGCTGGGAACAATGTAGATGTGCTGTAGCCCTATGATAAGTCTCACGTTCATGCCTTCAAACTGATAAAACCTGAAAAGATGTCTGTGTGAGTCGTTTTTCACAAAAATAATATCATACAGCCTATCCAGATGAGCATAAAGGCCAGACAATGAGAGAGGGAGGCTTTTGTTTCTGAAAGTAGGATTACTACAGATTACTAAGTGATGATTAAGCTATTTCAGAACCTGAAGAAACTGAAATTCCGAAATCTCGAAGTATAATTAATTCAGTAATAGCTTCTGGGTACACATCGCTTGAGAGTTATGCGTAAATTACTAGTAATTTGCAGATGACTGTCGGTGGTCGTATCAAATTTATATAAGAAAGGAGAATAAAGGCAAAAAAGATAGTAACAGATTGTACATTTTTACAAGAAGAGCTATTCGTTCGATTCTCGTCCAAAAATCCAAAATGTTCTCAAAATGTTTATAGCAAAAATACTAATCATATGTGTAACCCACTCCATGAATACTTGTAAAAAGAGTGTTGTCAGTGGGTGGTTAGCAGCAATCGAAATTTCAGAAGCTTCTTCATCCCTCTCCTTTTTATGATGGTTTGAGGGGTAAGGGGTTGTAGCAGAAAAAGGCTCTGGCTACTGGATCTCGGTAATATATCGGCCCCCTCAGAAGTCGGCTAGTTGGTAGCAGATGAACAAAATACAGGGTTCACAACGAAAACGGACTGGGTCAACATCAAGGACCTCAAGATTTTTATCCTTACGTTTCCTTATTTCCTATATTGGCAGCCGGTCTGTACCCGAGGGCTCTGAATGAACGGTAAGGAGGGAACAAGCAGAGTTTGAGAGGGAAAATGGCCAAAGCGAAAACAGTTCGCAACTGTTGAGGTGCTAGGATTGAACTAATGCTGGACTGAAACACAAAGCCGAATAAGGTTCTACGTACAATGCTTGGAATAACCGGAAATGTGTTTTTGTAGCAAGTCAAAGAGCAATATACCGTAGCCTGTCCCAAAGCGGAACAAGTGTCACACGAACGGAATATGATTCTTGGACATACTAATGAGTTCAGACGATGTAAGAGCTCCGGAGCAACCGCAACGTGCCGATTGTGACTACTAACACAATCCCATGGACATTTTTAGCAGTACAATTCTGCGTTCCCTCATTAACGCGGAAGAGCAATCGTCATAAAGTTGATGAAGATTGGGCGGCAGCAGCATTCCCCCAGCAGCAAGTGAAATAAGTAATGAAAACCTTCTCAATGACGTCTTTTCACGTCATAAATTAAATTAGATCTGACCCTCCCGAATGACGGCTTCAATTTTGGAGAGATCTTGGCGAACAGAGAGCAAAATGTTCACTAGGTTAGCTGGCAAGGGTCGGCGTTACCCAACTCAGATCCACTGATGAGATCCCTCCGTGTCGAGAGGCCATCTACATTCTTCGTCTTATTCGCAAAAGTTACTCAGGAGGGACTGAGTAGTGAAGAAAAATCTGAAGTTCATCTGCAAAACAAAGGAGGTAAAGGCACTAATTACGACCATTTTGGGTTATTTAATTTTGCCGATTAATGGTGAGTGATGGTCCAGAGTAAAGAAAGGAGGCGCAGAAAACACGAAGAGTAAGAGTTGCGAAGAAGTTTGGAAAGTTCTATAGTTTAAAGAAATGTAAACCTTCAAAAGGGAATCAATATAAAGGGTTGGACGAGAATGTTACGAAAACATCTGCATGGAAGGTTTATTTGGACGAATTGTACGATATAGTAGACTGCAGTGAGCTGCCTAGTTCAAGGTATGGGTCCCGGTGCGTGCGGTGGAATCTCTACAGCTTCCACGACGCTTGAGAACTCTACCATCCTGGGTGAGCACTTCGGCTAAGGCGGTTTTGGGATCCCTTATTACGCCCTATCTTGACTGCTTTTCGACCCGACGGCTTCGACCCTAGGGTATTTTCGGGGGTTACAGATTCATATTAGGGAATAAGCCATTTTTAATGTGACCTGCGCTCTTGCGAAAGTTTTTATCGATTGCAGAGGTCCCATACCTAGCCTCCTGAGATAGGTGAGAAGCGCCCGAAGCGAGACGAATCGGATGGTTTTTATCATCTATATTAAACTAACAGCGCTTTCGTTGATTTCTGCGGATTTCAGAGAATTCAAATTGAAGAAGAAATTATTCATTTCCAGACAGCAGTAGCACTTGCACTTAAGCCTTTAGCTTCTCTAAAGTGGGCACTATGAAGGCTTGTGAAAGCACGCAAAGTTTGCACTAAAAATTCTAGATAATACTGCTCCTACAATATGAACCGCGAAGTCCGCTGCATTTCATGGTCATCGATCAGCTGGCTTCTGACTTCAACGAGAGGGCTGAGTTAGATAGCAAGGAAATAAAATGCTATTTGGCAATCCCTGGTCATCTTAAGGAGCTGAGATGCATAAAGGGGCTTACCAGTAGGGTNCCTGGCGAAATTATCTGACGCCGATTAGGGCATGAGCATTAATCATGGCTCGTGGATGGAATCTTCGATGGTACTTGTTGGATCAATCAAACCTTTTATAGTTCTGAGATCGGTTTATAGGTGTTGGACTGATTCGGGAGGATAAAAATATACGTCTGAGCATATGCTTACCACAGTACGCCATCGTGTGTGTCACACACGCATCCGAAGGCTTTTGAAGTCTGTATGTGAGTCAAATACTGTTGTATAGCCTCAAACGGGATTACTCAATACCAAAAGACTTTTGATCCAACTCACTTGATGAACCTAAAGAGTTTGTTGTTCGATACAACAAATGCTTTTTGATAACCATATTCGCATTTACCCAAGATTGTTTATCAGTGTCCAGTTTGCGCCCCGCATTTGACTCCCATTCAAAATCATAGTGGCGTTTCGAATGTGTATGTTACCCATGCAATGAATTGCGGTGGCCGGGTGATGTCGGTGCCTTCATCCCCTCCAGACGAATCTGGAACCAACTAGCCGACTCCGGAGAGTTAGAAGTTATGGTTGGCTTAGATGGTAGCCGGGTATTAAGCCAGGATTCGATCCAGGAACAATATTCGCTTGAGTGACACCGCCCATGCCCAAAACAAAGGAACAAACATATCAAACTGAGGGGATTGATGAAGTAATTCAGGTCCCGTTCACACGTGCCTCAGACGAAAACCAAACTGATAAGTCTCGTCACTCTGTGCTCATACGTAGGGTACAGGTACAGCGATCAAAAGTATAATCACGAGTACAAGACTAATAATTTGTCATTTCGGCATAAAAAAGTGTAAATGCAAATTCCAGTGGAAAGGAGGTGTGATATTTCGTATTCCAGATTTATTAGCTTTTGTTTATTACTGATTAGAGTGAAGGGATAATCAACGATGAACTAATAAGAGGTAAAATAATATCTGTAGGTCTCTTTTGTTTAGGTTATATTTAAAAACAATAAACTTATTTGATTTGACTTGGGGTACTTTGTGTTCTTAAACGACTGCTGTAATTTTGTAGCAGTACACGATTTTGCAGCCCCCAAGGTTAGGTTTGCGATTTAAGGGCGGAAAAACCTCCGCGGAGGGCACTCAAACAAGTATCCGTACCTTCACCTTATTTATCTAAGTTTTCGTCGAACATTCAAGACCGATGAGAGGCAAGGAGGAGGAAATAGACGTTATAGATTGATTATTTTTCATGTGTGTACTTGAATTTTTCGGAATCTTTTACTATTTATTTGTCAGCTGTAGTTTAATCGTAAGACCTGATGTAAAGGGCCAATCGTCTCAAGCAGTCACGGGATGAACACAGACATTCAGCAGACTGACTTTCAGGATAGTGAAAGCGAAGTGGAGGAAGTGTAGTGGCTAATCGCGTACTATCAAACACCCATGGGTTGTGATTCCCAGTCGGTATTCACTTATGTATGTCAACCGAGAATTAGATCACTCCAGAGTCAGTTAATTGGTACCAAACTCGTCTGCGTGGTTGAAAGCACTGACTTGTATTGGGTTGTAACATAAGTTCGTAGAGTTTTGTGTTAGGGTCATTTTACAACGATTCGCTTTGTTTTTTGGCGAAGTGTATATATTCATTCGAAAGAGCTCTTTCTCCTCTATAAAAC